ATTATTTTACAAACTTCATCCATTATCAGTAAAATGTCACAGCAGTTATATGACCATAGCACCTGCTGTTAATTCATGCAATTGTGGGATTCAAGGAAGGAAAACACTTTAATTTATTCAATCAAGTAGAGAAATAAATATTTGTAAAAACTTTCTAACTTTTAGGGAATCAGCCCATCATTAATTTCATTATTTTTTTAAGTTACAACGTGGTGACGACTGCCGTGGATAGAATTTAGTGGTTAACGCATCCTTTCTAAATTTGTTATGTAATAACATACAGGGCAAATTCGACTTATAGCAGCAAGCTACAGAAATATATTTGTTAAAGTGTCCTTTGCTTTCATTGGTGGCAAGAGGGATAAAATATATAACCGGACAATAGATTAACTATTATAGTGTATGTATTATGTTAGTTACTGCTAGGCCACTGATCCAGGTCTACAGAGAGACCCACCCCAGTTTAGAGATCCTACAGAGATCTGAAACAGCCACTTTGCAAGCCATGGCAACACAATTGATCTGAAGGATTAATATGAAGAAAAAAGTGCCAGCCTGTTTAATCCTTTATTGGGCACAGTCAAGTGCTATTGAATGTTCAATGTGACCATCAAAAGAAATATATTTTCCTTTTTCCCCATACCTCACATAATCTACGTAGAGTGCTCCTATCCTACAAACAGGGTTTTCAGATTGGCTAATGTTCTTCCATCTGTTGCTGGTTAAGTACAAATTCAAAAATTGAAAAAGATGGTGCTTCTCAAATGGTTTCTATCCATTGGGCTAGCTGGGAAAGATCTTGAATATACTGGGATAGTTTTAAGAGTGTGTTCAGCTCTTTCTTTTACCACCCTGCTTTTCATCCATTGGGACTATTGGTTTATAAACAAGCATCCTTGTATTGGTCAAGTTTACATGTTTATGTACTGTTAGCATATCTAATTCCACCCTCATCTCCACCCATTCTTCCAATGGAGACTGCCTTTTGAACAACCATTTTTTTACTGCCCTCAAGCTCTTGATTGATGGAAACCTTGAAACTATTGTAAATAATTTACTGAATTTACTTGGCCTCTGTAGAGTGCTGACCTGCTTCACAAAATGGCTATTTCAGTATATAGATGGTTGTATATCACTGCAGAAAATCTCCTTTGGATTCACACCCTCAATGTTTTGGAAACAGTTCCCTATTTAGAAGTAGCCCTTAATTAAAACATAAGGAATGTTAAAGTAAAAAAGATAAAATTCTAATCTAATGTATATTTTCTAGGTGCAGTGATCTAATTAGGATGGTGATGGCTGTATGTTTGTTTTCTCATAAATCTTCATTATGTGGCCAAAATGTTTGTGGACATCTGACCATCACACTTTGTATATAGCCTTGCAATTTCAATTGGCAAACATAAGCATACAAAGTAATTTCAGACAATTCTGCCCTTCCAGTTTGGAGAGGCCCTTTTCTGTTGCAGCATGTCTGTGCCCCTGTGCACAAAGCCATGTCTTTGGGACATGCTGGATCACTGGTTGCGATCCATGATTTTGCATTCAATTTCAGTATCTGACCTCACAAACGTTTTGGCTGAATGGACACAAATTCCCACACACAATCTCTAAAATCTTGTGGAAAGCTGTCCCAGAAAAGTTGAAGCTGTTACAGCCAAAAAGGTGTGTCTGTG